ATAATTTATCTAATCTTAGTATATCTTTAAACTTACTAACAGCATATCACCACAAAATCTTATAATAATCTTATACCTGATATTTAAGTGTTTTAATCTGGTTATAATCTGATATTTGACATATTTCGCCAAAATCTTTAGCCTATCGGCCTGTTATTATCATTATAAAAAATTTAATTATAGTCTTCATCATATCGGCCTGCTATCATTCTTTCCGATTATATACAGATATTTAGATAATATTTTTAATTTTAACTAGTGTATAGCTCTTTATCAGATTAGTCTCCTGCATATTTAAAAGTTTCATAAGTCAAATTCTTCTAAATTTAGTTAGCTACTAAGCTAAGTTAGTATTGCTGCTAATACAAGGTATCAAGCTGCATTATATAGCAGACTTACTCGTATCTGCTTGATCTGCAATCTTTGTATACAAGCTTCTTTTTTGAATCAAGCATTAACTGGTATGACTGTTAAAATCTGTACTACTTTATCTAATTCTGGATTTCTATTATACAGATCTTTTGCTTATAGATCTTATCAAGATTTATTTGTATAATATAACTCAAATATTGTATTACATTTCTAATATCTAATTGATATTGATACAATATGATTTACAGAGTTACAACCCTCAGAAACAAACAGAGTTTATCATAAGTTAAATATAAAGATCTGAATAATTATTTAAATTTATTGACAGTAAGATTTGAACTCTAGACTTCTTATATAGCAGTCTAACAACCTAACTACTACACTAAGATTACTGGACCTCTTAATTTCTTTTTTTAATTACAACTTCTACTAATACTATTATCTAACTTTTTTTTTTTTTTTTTTTTTTCTCTACAAGTAATCTTTTCCTTTTTTCATCTGCTCAGATTCTTACTTTAGTCTTTATTTCTTTTAATTTGTTTTTTTTAAACTTTGTTATAATTTTATTTTCTTTTTCCCATAAAATTATCTTTTCATAATGCCAATTCTATATAATTTCTGTAAATCTCTTTTGGATTATAAAGAAAATACTATCTAACTAAATTCTTATAATACTTTTTTTCTGTACTACAGTAGTATTCTTATATCTTTTGCTATTTTTTTTTTTTCTAATTCAATAACTAGCTCTTTTCTTCTTTGATATTAATTTTCTTTATTTTTTAAAAAAATAATCTCTTTGATTCTTGATAACAAGTCTGAACAATAATTTTTTTCAGATTCAAGCTTGCTAATACTTTCTAATATTGCTTCTTCGATTTGTTTCTAAAAGTCTTGTAAAGCTAAATATCTAAATAGATGATCAAAGTTTTTTAAGATTTCTTTTTTATATAGAATACAATGATTACTTTTATAAAGATCTGATTTCTGTTTTTTCAGTTTGCTAACTATTGAGAAACTATTTATCAAATATTTGATCTGTATAATAAGATATTTACTATCTTTTATCAACAGGCAATTTATTCTTCTTTGTTTCTTAATCCTCTGCTATAATCTTTTCTAATTATACTTTGAAGTCTCAACAAGTTTATTTTTTTTTTAATATGTTTACTTCATATCATTATATCTTTTTGTTAACTTTGTTATGAAGTGTTTAATTAAGCTCTCGATTCTATTTGATTTCCATGCTATATTATAGTTAAAGTTTTTACTTTTGACTATATCAAGATTTAGGATTATATATAAAGCAAGAAATCTTTTGTTTTAATCTATTTTAATGTTTTTTAAATGTATTTTTGAATTTTTTATATAAGCTTCTTTTTGAACTAAAGAATTTCAAATCATAATTTTAATAATAGCTATAAATAGAATCTATTTTGCCTTATATCGAATATATCAAATTAAAAACTTGCTAGGCAAGAAGATTAATGTTAAAAATTAAATTAATTAATTTTTGCCAGGATTTGTGAATCGTAATGCCGGAAGACTTTATGTAATTTTGGCCAATAATATAATTATCTTTTATCACGAATGTTTAAAGCTAAGGGGCCAAGTTTCGGAATAATAGTTTGGTGCTGATAGAGATGGGGTATAATGGTTGGGGTTGTGTGATGTTCATGTTCATAAAAGGGTGATTAGCAGTGCACCGACCAAGAGACCAAAAGAAAGATTTTTCTTTGTATTACAAATGAATAACCAGTAATTTGTTCATATCCTTTTATAAAAGTGATTTATTTATTCTAAATTTTAACTGAAAAAATCTAATTGCCACGTATCAAAAATTAACATATAGCATCATACCAAACACACTTTCACAACGAATGTCGCCCGGCCAAAATATTAACGATAATTCTTCGGACCCAACAACAAATTCTATTATGAATTCCTACAAAGTAAATGTGGGAGAACAGACTTTTCGTTTATACCGTTCTTCAATAACTTTTGACGCACCAAATTTTTTTACACCTTTTCTCGGTGAAGAAGCGAATTCTGGAGATGCAGAAGCAAATGAAATATTCATAACTGTTAGTGGTTCAGACGGTACCGGAAAAGACAACGATCCGCCTGTTATCGTCGAGACTACTAAATCAAAGTCTAGTGGCCATACACAAAATTATTTTACTTCAGATTCTGAAGTTACAATTGACAGAGATCCCAAGTTATTTGAAGTTATTTTGAGATATCTTCGAGGATATAATATATTTCCACTTTCTTCAATTAACTTACCACCAGGAATGTCCCTTGACTTATTTCGAGAAAGTTTATTAGAAGACGCACGGTTTTATGGTCTTGACCGTCTCGCACAACTTCTTCAAGCCGAGACACCTACACCGTTACGTTATAAGGATCCGTTTACATCAGCAGATAAGATCCTTTTATCCCTTCGCGATGTGCCGATTCACAAAGATTTCATCAAATCCAAGCTCGATGGATCATCCACTATTGAATTCTTTACCGGAGCGGTGCTTACTATTGATCTTGAGCCATCAGATGCCTCTATACGGTTTAATACAAAATTTTTAAACGAACAAGATCAAAAAGCTTTAGAAACATTGGGTGAGATTTGTGGAGAAAATACACAAATAGAGTTTTCAAGACAACTTTACGCTAATATGAAAGATGCTTTGAATGGTATACGATTAGAAATTGATGGAGTGCAGGTTACTGGTATGGACATTGCATCCGTAGGAACTAATCAAAGAGTTAAGGCGTTAGAAGATATGTTTAGGATTTCTGGTGGTCAACGTTTAATCATATATGCACAAGAATTTGTTTTTAGGCTAGATCGAATTCAACCTTCTACCATTGATGGCAACCAAATAGGAACTGACAACGTTTGTAATAGTCAGAATTGTACACAAGATAATAACGAAAAAGATAATATCAATGGCATTATCCAATCAGATGCCAATGGAGTGAAAGTATCAGTCAGGGATGGGGAAGAAGATATTGAACATAATAACGAAAAAACTAATAAAACTGTCAATGCTAAAGAAATTGATAATCCGAGTCATAGCGAAAAGAGCAACGTTAGTAAAATAACGAACGAAAACAGCAGCAACAATAATGTAAACGAAGGTGATATGATGTACCTTGGCGTTGTATGGGCTAAAGGATGGACACAAGAATGGTGGGCATGGAATGAATACAGAATGAAGTTAGATGCACTTCAATGATAGAACAAAAAGTAATTGGTTAAAATTGATTTGATATATATCATATACAGTATATATTAACATTATAATCATCATTTACGACCTATTTTATAGTCTAAAAATTTAGTTACTTCATTATTATTATGATATTATTATTATCTATTTCATTCATCAATTGTTATATATTCATATTATTTTTCTTTTACATACACGACTTACGATTAAAAAAAAAAGTGTGATTGTTCGTGTCGTAATACACAAAAGAAACAATGGCAAGTTTCGGAAAAAATAATGGTTTAAAATTTTTGAATGCATTATTTATTACACACAAGTGTATCTGGTATAATATGTCAGATATATACAAGTCACTCTTGTTATAGTGAAGTGATTGGGCTGAGAAAAAACATCTTCACTATAGCTTATATCGAGAGAATACTATATAAACTTTATTGTATCGAGCGAAAAGTCAATAATTATGGCAATGAATTTTAAAAAAAAATTCTTCACTATATCGAGAGTTCACTATAACGAGAGTGACTTGTATATATGTTGTAAGTGGGAATGGAATTTCTGTGGATTGGGAATTTCTTAATAAATTTAGTATTTTGCCATAGAATTATTCTATATAACCTATATCCTCTACCCTAACACGAACCCCAACCTATTCTGGTCATTAAATTAAAAAATTCTGTATCCACTTATAACATCGATCGATATATATTTTTTTTTTAAAAAAAAAACGTATCAGATATTAGAGTCTATTGTTACACGGCATAATTTATCAAGAGTACTATAGTAACATGAGCTCCCTTTAATTGTCGACTACATTAACTTTCATAATAAAAAAAAAGACAATTTTTATTTCGTGTATCACCCTTAACAAAATCACGAAATGGACACGAAGCAACAGTGAAAAAAAATGAAAAATTATCCTGGGCTTAGCCGGGAATTGAACCCGGGACCTCTCGCACCCTAAGCGAGAATCATGCCACTAGACCACCAAGCCACTGTTATTATAAAGATTAAAATAATTAAATAATGTACTAAAGAACCAATAAAAGATTTATACGTGATTTATTTTTAACCAACTCTAACGCTAACTTTATTAAAAACAAATAGTGAATTTCAAGATTAAATTTATATTAAGAAAAACTTAACACAACGCTTGTGTGAAGTTCCATTAGTTCTTTTACTGCAATTCATTTCCCAGGTATCAATAAAGTTAGATTGTTAAATTTTTATTTATTGGGCGCAGTAGTTTTGCAACGACTATTCTAATTGTTTGATCGAATTAATTAAAAGCGCGCATTTCACTTGTTTAAATAATCCTATGTTAGAATTCTTGGTTTTCACTTGACATCACTTAGTTATACAATTGAAAATACTTTCTACATCAATATTTCGTAATTATACACTTCATAACACTTTCATGTTTGATGTTATATAATAAAAATTCGAAATTATATAGTACAGATTATGTAACATATGGGGTGAAGTAGAACAAATTTATTAGATAAATTGTCTCTTTTCTACTAACTTCTCTTCATATGAGGTCTTTGCTAACAAAAGCATACTTCAGAACTATATCGAATATCAATAGAAACCAAGCAAATAATTTTATAGTAAAATTTTTTTTGAAACTTTGAACTCAAATAACTTAACAACTTATTTAAAGATTTAAGTTTTTTTTCAATTTTACAGCTTAATAAATAAGTTATTTGAGTTTAAAGTTTTAAAAAATTTTACTATATAACTATAGTTAGTATTTTCTAAATACAACTACTTAGGAAATATAAGAAAAAATTTCAAAAATCTAGTATTTAAAGAAAGCAAATTCTCTATATGGGAGTGAGTTAATAGAAATCAAGCAAATTGTTTTTATTGAAATTTTTTTGATACTTTAAACAACAATAACTCAACAAAAACTTTATCAAATTTAATAAAAATTTTTTTAAATGAATTCTACAATTAGTAATATTTATTTTAAAAAATTTTTATTAATTTTGATTATGTTTTTGTTAAGTTATTGTTGGCTAAAGTTTCAAAAAAATTTACTTAGAAAAAATTTGCTTGATTTCTATTGACTCAACCCCATATATTTATATAGCTAAAACTAAAAGTTAATTTATATATATTAAAAGTTTTATTAAAAATTGTATTTAGAGAGTTTGTACTTAAAGAGATTTGTTTAGTTTTTATTAATATCTTTAAATTATATTATTAAATAATTAGAAAAATTAAATTTTGTTTATAAATTAATATAATTCTAAATAATATTTTTGTTTTTTAGTTTTTAGTTAATAGATTTTTATTAGTTTAAATTATAAGATTATATATAAACTTTTACGATTTGTAATTATATAATAAATATAACTAGTTATCTTTTTATACTATATACTATAATAAGCAAATTTGTTTACTTAATAATTTAAATATAGTAATAATTTATATTTTTAAAAAGTTAAAATAATTAAATAAAAATTTATATATAAAATTTTTTTTTAACTTTTTTAACAAGTTATGCCAATATTTTATTTGCAATAAATTTTGTACTTAATAATATATTTAACTAAGTAATTTTTTAAGTATTAACTTATTCAGTTATTATAATAGTACTTATATATAATTTATTATCTCTTAAACTATATTCTAGGCAAATTTGCCTAGAAAATTAAAGAATAAATACTATTTTTTAAATAATTTAATAAAATATTAATGATATAGAGTTTATATTATATATAGAATATATTGTTAAAAATATATTCTATGAACTTTATTAAGAAATTTTCTTATTTTTACTAAATAGTTTTTGAATAATAAATTTTTAAAGTTTATATTAAAAAATTTTTTATAATTAATTTTTTTAAAATATTTTTAAAATTTTATATATTCCTGAAGCTAAAAAAAAATTTTAGTTCTAAAACAAGTTAAAATTTTTACAATTAAATTATAAAAATTGTAATAATAAAAGTTATTTCTCTTGATAAATTTCATGTAATTCTAATTTTAAAAAAAATGAATAGCTAATAGTTAAGGAGTTCATCAAGAATAAGTAATAAAATTTTTTAAATAAAAAAATTTCTTTAAAGTTATCTAACTTTAGTATATAGACAACTTATATATTTTTTTTTATAAAATAAAAATAAATACTACAATTATATAATCATTATTTTTAAATATTATCAAAAAATTTTTGTTTAAATATATTAATTTTATAAAAATATAGATTATAGGTATTGTTATATAAATTTTCTAGATAAATTTATTTGAAATAGCCTATAAATTAAGAGATAGTAGATATTTTTTCTCACTATTACTATTTTTTTTTTCTTTTGATAGTTGTACTTATTTTATTTATAAAGTTGTGAACTTACAATTAGATAGCTAGTCTAAAAAAAATCTACTATATTAATTCTTATTTCCTAATAAGAAACACTACTCAATACTCCTTTGTGTACTCAGATATAACCTGTTGTACTAGAAATATCTTCTTAATATAAAAGAAAAAAAGAGAATCTAGGAACTTTATCTAACTATATAAGGGTCAGACTATATAAAATATAATAAAATTATTAAATCTAGTGAAAGCATTAAGCATATATTAGATAATAATATAAGTTTAAAACTATACTAAAGAAAAACTTGTAAGCAAGTTAAAAAACCTTAAAATAGTTAAAGAAAAGCAAAGGGTAAAAAGAAAAATAAAACAAAAAAAAAAGAAAGACGTTTTAATTCTAAACCTAATCTAACAAGAAATAAGAACTCAGACTAGGTATTTAAAAATTATATATACAACTTGTACTTATTTGTATATATCTATAAAGTTTTAATATATCTATTCAGTTTTTTTCTACATATATAGAGCTAATTCATGTAAATATTGTAGTTTAAAATAATAGTCTAAACTATAATATGACTATATGTATTTGTTGTTATAACAACAATACAGTTACTCTAAAAATAGTGTCTACTCGAAAGTTCTACACTAGTTGCGATACCTAAAATCTATTTGAAGATTCCCTATTTAAACCCTCTGGCCCTATGACTTACCCATTTCTATCTATTTATACTAAGCTAGCCTAACACTGTGCTACTTCTTCAAGAAGATACCCGAGCTAATATATATCTACAAACTTTATGATTTGAAGCCTAGGTCCATCTCAGGTATCCCTTTACCAACTTCCAAATAGATGAGTACTGTAGTACTCAACTATACTAAGCTATATCCTAATCTAGCTTGCATATACCCTTGTTCGATGTTCGTACAAACTCAGTTTCTACCGTAGTCTTCCACTAAGTTAGTCATCTGTGCCTCCAAATATCACACGAAGTAGATCCTCCCAAATCTGTTGCTTAGTATTGCCTGCTTTGTCGCCGGATATCACATGAGACAGATCTTTCCAAATCTAGTTAGCCACCAAGCCAGGTTGGTGTTGCCGTATGACCTCATATAATGGACTTACTTGCACCTGTTTCATCAATCCTTCTGTACTCAGGACTTATTCATATCTATTTCACCGATCTTTTCATACGCAGATTTTCTTTCTCAGATCAGACGTTAACTGGTATGACTGTCAAAATTCGTACTACTTCACCTAACTCGGGATTTCTATTATACAGGTCCCCTGCCTGTAGATCCTATTAAGATTTACTCGTGTAACGTTATGCCTCGCCGAATGCCCATTACACTTCCAATACCTGATTGGTATTGGTGCATATGATTTACAGGATTACAACTCCAGAAACGAGCAGAGTTTACCGTAAGTTGGATACAGATGTCTAGGTAATTATTTAATTCTGTATATAGTGGGATTTGAACCCTAGACCTCTTGCATAGCGGTCTAGCAACCTAACCACTACACTAAGATCACTAGACCCCACTAGTTATAGTTAATCAGGTGACTATTAATAGTTACTAGTTATAGTTAACTAGTACTTATTATTAACTAATAATAAATATTATCTGATTTATACTACTGTATCTATTAATGATGAATAAATAATTAATATTACTATGCCTA